ATACTCGTAGACATGTAAACGGTCGAATACTCGTAGACATGTAAACGATTGAATACTCGTAGACACGTAAACGATCGCATACTCGTAGACATGTAAACGGTCGAATACTCGTAGACATGTAAACGATCGAATACTCGTAGACATGTAAACGATCGCATACTCGTAGACATGTAAACGGTCGAATACTCGTAGACATGTAAACGGTCGAATACTCGTAGACATGTAAACGGTGGAATACTCGTAGACATGTAAACGGTGGAATACTCGTAGACATGTAAACGGTGGAATACTCGTAGACATGTAAACGGTGGAATACTCGTAGACATGTAAACGGTGGAATACTCGTAGACATGTAAACGGTGGAATACTCGTAGACATGTAAACGGTGGAATACTCGTAGACATGTAAACGGTGGAATACTCGTAGACATGTAAACGGTGGAATACTCGTAGACATGTAAACGGTGGAATACTCGTAGACATGTAAACGGTGGAATACTCGTAGACATGTAAACGGTGGAATACTCGTAGACATGTAAACGGTGGAATACTCGTAGACATGTAAACGGTGGAATACTCGTAGACATGTAAACGGTGGAATACTCGTAGACATGTAAACGGTGGAATACTCGTAGACATGTAAACGGTGGAATACTCGTAGACATGTAAACGGTGGAATACTCGTAGACATGTAAACGGTGGAATACTCGTAGACATGTAAACGGTGGAATACTCGTAGACATGTAAACGGTCGAATACTCGTAGACATGTAAACGGTGGAATACTCGTAGACATGTAAACGGTGGAATACTCGTAGACATGTAAACGGTGGAATACTCGTAGACATGTAAACGGTGGAATACTCGTAGACATGTAAACGGTGGAATACTCGTAGACATGTAAACGGTGGAATACTCGTAGACATGTAAACGGTGGAATACTCGTAGACATGTAAACGGTGGAATACTCGTAGACATGTAAACGGTGGAATACTCGTAGACATGTAAACGGTGGAATACTCGTAGACATGTAAACGGTGGAATACTCGTAGACATGTAAACGGTGGAATACTCGTAGACATGTAAACGGTGGAATACTCGTAGACATGTAAACGGTGGAATACTCGTAGACATGTAAACGGTGGAATACTCGTAGACATGTAAACGGTGGAATACTCGTAGACATGTAAACGGTGGAATACTCGTAGACATGTAAACGGTGGAATACTCGTAGACATGTAAACGGTGGAATACTCGTAGACATGTAAACGGTGGAATACTCGTAGACATGTAAACGGTGGAATACTCGTAGACATGTAAACGGTGGAATACTCGTAGACATGTAAACGGTGGAATACTCGTAGACATGTAAACGGTGGAATACTCGTAGACATGTAAACGGTGGAATACTCGTAGACATGTAAACGGTGGAATACTCGTAGACATGTAAACGGTGGAATACTCGTAGACATGTAAACGGTGGAATACTCGTAGACATGTAAACGGTGGAATACTCGTAGACATGTAAACGGTGGAATACTCGTAGACATGTAAACGGTGGAATACTCGTAGACATGTAAACGGTGGAATACTCGTAGACATGTAAACGGTCGAATACTCGTAGACATGTAAACGGTGGAATACTCGTAGACATGTAAACGGTGGAATACTCGTAGACATGTAAACGGTGGAATACTCGTAGACATGTAAACGGTGGAATACTCGTAGACATGTAAACGGTGGAATACTCGTAGACATGTAAACGGTGGAATACTCGTAGACATGTAAACGGTGGAATACTCGTAGACATGTAAACGGTGGAATACTCGTAGACATGTAAACGGTGGAATACTCGTAGACATGTAAACGGTGGAATACTCGTAGACATGTAAACGGTGGAATACTCGTAGACATGTAAACGGTGGAATACTCGTAGACATGTAAACGGTGGAATACTCGTAGACATGTAAACGGTGGAATACTCGTAGACATGTAAACGGTGGAATACTCGTAGACATGTAAACGGTGGAATACTCGTAGACATGTAAACGGTGGAATACTCGTAGACATGTAAACGGTGGAATACTCGTAGACATGTAAACGGTGGAATACTCGTAGACATGTAAACGGTGGAATACTCGTAGACATGTAAACGGTGGAATACTCGTAGACATGTAAACGGTGGAATACTCGTAGACATGTAAACGGTGGAATACTCGTAGACATGTAAACGGTGGAATACTCGTAGACATGTAAACGGTGGAATACTCGTAGACATGTAAACGGTGGAATACTCGTAGACATGTAAACGGTGGAATACTCGTAGACATGTAAACGGTGGAATACTCGTAGACATGTAAACGGTGGAATACTCGTAGACATGTAAACGGTGGAATACTCGTAGACATGTAAACGGTGGAATACTCGTAGACATGTAAACGGTGGAATACTCGTAGACATGTAAACGGTGAAATACTCGTAGACATGTAAACGGTGGAATACTCGTAGACATGTAAACGGTGGAATACTCGTAGACATGTAAACGGTGAAATACTCGTAAACATGTAAACGGTGAAATTCTCGTAGACATGTAAACGGTGGAATACTCGTGGACATGTAAACGGTGAAATACTCGTAGACATGTAAACGGTGGAATGTGTTGAAGGTCCCTGGTTTAAACCTGATTCCGTTGTTTTGATTATGTTATTGTTACTTAATGCTATAGATGGTTATTTTAAGTCCATTGTCTGATGAAGACGAATCAGTCAACTGTTTCTCTCCTCCATTAACCGGTTTCAAGTGCTACAAATCTGCGCAAATTAGTCTGTTCATTCGGCTCTTTTCCATGTGAAAAGTGAACCAATCAATTGGTCCATGTTGAATAAATATGCGCGCAATATTTTGTTATTCAAATTTTTTAAAGCTTGGTACATAGGTAACAATTGGAAATCGTTCTTCGGGAACATTTGTGACAAATGGCCCGCGGTAGGCAATTAAGGGCAACAGTTCTCGAGACATCAATATCACCAACATCAACACTCCGCCTAATGCTGAGCTCACACATAATCTCCTTTATATATTTACCGTTAGAGGCTTAGCTCAAACTTTGTTTCCCATTTGTTTGCCATAGATGCTTAGCTCAAACTTTGTTTCCTACAAATTTATATAAGCGACTGAAGGCTTAACTCAGCTTGAGATGAACTTAAAACATTGTTGATATTGGTGTCACGTCTTCCAGAGAACATTGGAGCAGTGTTGCCAAAAAATGAACATGAAATAACTGTGTACTGCAGCATGTCTTAGTTATCCTTATCTTCAAGGTGTTACCATCTGCGTGCGGATTGCGTTCATTCTATTCGGACTTTGTGTTGTAGCGTATACGTACAATGTATCATCTGCGTGCGGATTGCGTTCATTCTATTCGGACTTTGTGTTGTAGCGTACCATTGCCTGTTACTTATAGTTATATAAACCCTTACATTTGTTAGATGGGTCAGTGTCTTAATACATTGAAGTGTCATTAATAATGAAAGAAAAAACAAAGAAATTGGTAAAAATGTCTGCATTGTTTAACATGACTTGCGCTTAGTAAAGAAGAAAATTATGAACTGGGACGTTCAAGGTACTTAGCAATGAGAAATAGTTAATATTTGTTGTTCTGTGCTGTTAACGTGTATTAAACTGAACATATTTTTTCGTTGTGAGTTAATTTCCGTGCTAGCTGTTTCAATAACAGTTCTGTGAAGAATTAATGGTGAATAGATTAATTAAACTCACACGGGAACACAGAATATTATCGTATCATATTAAATTCATGCAAAACTGTCTTCCTCGTTTTAGTTGTTTATTTTCTTTGGAATTTAAATAGCTTGTAAACTCGGACGTGCATTACCAGTTGGATAGTTTTTCTCAAGTTAGGCTTGTAAAAGTGTTTTATGTTCTTTAAACAAGACAATAAGTTCTTTAAAATGTTGTCAAAATGTATGAGTCTATTTAAAACTGTTATGGATTCATTGTTTATTGTTGTAGTATCTTACGCAAGTACATATTATTGCCATATACCGTCAATGAATGAGTAATGTTGTTATATACACATCTGTGTGCTATTTTTAACAGCTCGCTGTCTGGTAATGGTGGACTACACACGGGTTTCTCCTCCGCTCATTACAACTATGGAATTCACAAAATGACAAATACTGAAAACACACTCTGCCTTCGTCTTCATACTCATTACCAAAAATGTAACTAACTAATAAGGGCGACTTCCATACAAAACTAACTTAGCTAACTAACTAACATAGCTGAAAACCTTTCTAAAATTTTAATCAAATGCATACTAAGCTTGTTTCTTTTTGCGACTTCTGTTTGTAGATTTGTGAATTGGTGTGTGAAATGAAAGAAACGAAACAAGGTTTACACTAAATGTATACTAGATGCATTTACCAACCAGCATATATGAGGAAATTTCCAACTTACATAGAACTAATAAAAGTCACGATGTTGGCTATTGGATTTCTTGTATGAGGTCGAATTTTAGGGTTGATTTGCTGAGACAGGATCAACTGTTTGTTCCTGGGTGAAACAAGCTCGGGGATTTGATAGTTAATGCGTTGTTATAATGATGTGGTCGGGCGGGGTGTCCTACTTCCGTGTCTATGTCTACATGGTCATCAAACCACAAGACAGTTCGGATACAGCTTCAGAAAATCTGGAAGTTTGTCT